CTCTACTAAAAATACAAAAATTAGCTGGGCGTGGTGGCAGGTGCCTGTAATCCCAGCTACTCAGGAGGCTGAGGCAGGAGAATCACTGGAACCCAAGAGGTGGAGTTTTCAGTGAGCTGAGATCACGTCATTGTACTCCAGCCTGGGTGACAGAGTGAGACTCCGTCTCAAAAAAATAAATAAATAAAATAAAATAAAAATAAAAAAATAAACATGGAAATATTAAACTTACCCATTCTTAGACAGAAATATTTCCTGGAAACCTAACTTAATATTATAAAAAGGTGAGGGGATGGATCATGCCCAAGCTGTTGCCCCTTCAAGAGTATTTATCACCAAGTTGGCCCCATAAAAACTATTGCAGCTATGAAGAAAGGGTGTCACTGCATCTGCCTTCCTTGAGAAGAAGGCAGAAAGGAGGTCCTGAAGACAGACAGCTGCACCTACCTCGGTGCCTCCAAGCCGGTCTGCAGACCCTTCACGATACGTGTTTAGGTAACCATCCACCAGGGTGGTTAGGTCAGACATCATCTCATCTAGGAGTGCCAAGCGAAGGGGTAACAGGTAGGTAGCTTCCAGGGCCAAAATTTTCAGTAAAGAGGGTGACACAGGTCGGATGAACCACACTTCTGGATTTTCCTGGAGACAATAAAACAATTTCCTCTGAATAGTAAGCAAGACTTTAAAGAAAATAATTGTTTAAGGCCAGGCGCAGTGGCTCACGCCTGTAATCCCAGCACTTTGGGAGGCCGAGACGGGCGGATCACAAGGTCAAGACATCGAGACCATCCTGGCTAACATGGTGAAACCCCATCTCTACTAAAAATACAAAAATTAGCCGGGTGTGGTGGCGCGTGCCTGTAGTCTCAGCTACTCAGGAGGCTGAGACAGGAGAATCGCTTTAACCCAGGAGGCAGAGGTTGCGGTGAGCTGAGATCGCCCCACGGCACTCCAGCCTGGTGACAGAGTGAGACTCAAGAAAAGAACTGTTTAAAGTGTTGCTTAATTTAAGACACTATTGTTTTCTTCTATTATTACCTTCTACTTTCACACTATTGATAGCCTTTGAGCATACACACGCTTTGCACACATACTCCTACATTAACAGTGTGTGCGTAACAGAGAAAGAGCAGGGTAGAGGTTGGTCAATCAAGACTTCTCAAAGCCAGAGGCAGCAAACTTGATTATGTGAACAGAACTGCAGCCAATACAATTATGACCTAAGTTTGCATGCAAGGATGTCAGAAGCTAAAGAAAATTTACCTTACTTTGGGAGAAATAACTAGGGTGATTTTTGGTTCCATTGCCTTGATCCAAATTCTCACAAAAATTTCTCCCGTCACAGCTAGAAAATGTATTTAAAAGTGCTTATTTTATTTATTTATTTATTTATTATTTTTTGAGACGGAGTCTCACTCTGTTGCCCAGGCTGGAGTGCAGTGGCGCGATCTCAGCTCACTGCAATGTCCGCTGCCCCTGCCCCCAACTCCGGGTTCAAGCGATTCTCCTGTCTCCGCCTTCCGAGTGGCTGAGATTACAGACGCCTGCCACCATGCCCAGTTAATTTTTGTATTTTTAGTAGAGATGAGATTTCACCATGTTAGTCAGGCTGGTCTTGAACTCCTGACCTCAGTTAATCTGCCCACCTTGGCCTCCCAAAGTGCTGGGATTACAGGCGTGAGCCACTGAGCCCGGCCTAAAAGTGCTTTTTAATTGATAGCCAGCAAATCTGGATCCTGGCTTTTATCCACTTGAGACCAGATATAAACTATTCCCATTTGGCACAGTTAAGATTTTGGCAATGTTCATATGAGTACATGGCAGCTGTCATTTTTCTATATAACAGGCTGATAATACAGCTCAGAAAACACTTGAAAAAAGATAATGTCATACACGACATCCTCTAACACTCACCTGAATCAGTTTTTGTCTCTTTTCTAGAAAGGAGAGATATTTAGGGGCTACTTTAAGGTGTTTGATTAAACTCTCCTGCAAAGTAGTGATGCAGTTTGGAAGATAGCCACCCGTTTCCATGGAAAACTGAAGTACATCTGCTACCTGTGGTATTTTAAAAAGACAAACAGAGCAGTTGAATATATACAGAGAGCTATCTCATGCCAGAAATATATTTAGAGAAATGTCTAAATAACATTTTCCCCAAGGACCCACACAATAGACCATGTCATCAGGAAATTTAAAGTTGTTCAGTCAACTTAATCTGAAAAATGGGGGAAAAAAAAACCAGAATAAAAGCTCAATTTCTTTTTTTCTTTTTTTTAAGGTGGAGTCTTGCTCTGTCACCCAGGCTGGAGTGCAGTGGTGTGATCTCAGCTCACTGCAACCCCCACCTTTCAGGTTCAAGCAATTTTCCTGCCTCAGCCTCCCAAGTAGCTGGGACTACAGGTGCAAGCTATGACGCCTGGCTAATTTTCAACTTTTTTTTTTTTTTTTAGAGACAGGGTCTTGCTATGTTGTCCAGGCTGGAGTGCAGTGGCTATTCACAGGCAGGACTCCACTACTGATGAGCACAGGGGTTCTGACCTGTTCCATGTCTGACCTGGGCTCGTTCACCCTTACTTAGGCAACCTGGTGGTTTTCCCCGCTCCTGGGAGGTCACCACATGGATGCCAATCTTAGTACAGGCATCCAATCAGCACAGCGCCCTACAGTCCAAAACTCCTTAGCTCAAGCAATCCTCCCACCTCAGCCTCCATAGTAACCATGACTACAGGCACAAGCCATCACACCCAGCAACCCAACTTTACTGTGTTCTTATCTACTTTCTTTTTTCTTTTCCTGAGACGGGTCTTCCTCTGTCGCCCAGAGCTGGAGTGCAATGGTGTGATCTCAGCTCACTGCAACCTACACCTCCTGGATTCAAGCAATTATCCTGCCTCAGCCTCCTGAGTAGCTGTGATTACAGGTGTGCGCCACCATGCCTGGATAATTTTTGTATTTTTACCAGGGTTTCACCATGTTGGCCAGGATAGCCTCGATCTCTTGACCTTGTGATCCGCCCGCCTTGGGTTCCCAAAGTGTTGGGATTACAGGCATGAACCACTGCGCCAGGTCTTTTTTTTTTTTTTTTTTTTTTTTTTGATATAGGGTCTTGCTCTATCTCCCAGGCTGGAGTACAATGCCACAATTATGGCTCATTGCAGCCTCAATCTTCCAGGTTCAAGGGATCCTCCCGCCTCAGCCTCCAAGTAGCTAGGACTACAGGCACATCCCACTACGCCTGGCTAATATTCTTAAACTTTTTTGTAGAGACAAGGTCTCGCTACATTGTTCAGGCTGATCTCAAATTCCTGGGCTCAAGCAATCCCCCTGTCTCCGCCTCCCAAAGTCTTGGGATTATAGGCGTGAGCCACTGCCCCTAATTTTTTTTTTTCTCCTTGTTTTATAATACCTGCCTGCCTTATGGTTGTTTATTAGTCTTTGTTACCCTTTAGGGAATGAAGAAAGGGAGATAAAATTCAAGAATTATTTTTAGTGGGCTGAGAATGCATTCCTATAGTCCCAGCGAGTTGGGAGCTGAACCAGGAGGATCTCTTGAGCTCAGGAGTTCAGGGCCAGCATGGGCAACATAGTGAGACTCCATTTCTGGGAGGAAAACAGATGGGTCTGGCATGTTGGCTCACACCTGTAATCCCGGCACTTTGAGAAGCCAAGGCTAGAGGACTGTTTGAGGTCGGGAGTTCAAGACCAGCCTGGACAACATAGAGAGATCCCATATATTAAAAAAAAATTAAAAATCAGCCAGGCATGGTGGTGTGTGCCTGTAGTCCCAGCTACTTGGGAGGCTGAAGTGGGAGGACGGCTTGAGCCCAGGACTTTGAGGCCTCACTAGCAGAGAGCTATGATCATGCCACTGCACTCCAGCCTGGGCAACAGAGCCAGACCTTGTCTCAGAAAAAAAAAATTTCTTTTATTATCTACTGGTAACCAAGAAAATTTTATAAGAAAACCTAATAAAATAAATAATTAAAAGTATTTATCTATGTGTGGTAGGCTGGCCAATGGCCCCCAAAGATAACTACTTCATAAGCACTGGAACCTGTGAATGTTATCTTACATACAAAGGGGACTTTACAGCTGGGATTAAGTTAAGGATTTTGAAATGAGATTATCCTGAATTGTCCAGGTAGTCCCTAAATGGAGTGACAAGTGATTTTTTTTTAAATTTTTTTTTATTTTTATTTTGTGGCACAGAGTGTCGCTCTGTCACCCAGGCTGGAGTGCAGTGGTGCGATCTCGGCTCACTGCAAGCTCTGCTTCCTGGGTTCACACCATTCCCCTGCCTCAGCCTTCCGAGTAGCTGGGACTACAGGCACCCACCACCACTACGACTGGCTAATTTTTTGTATTTTTAGTAGAGATGAGGTTTCACTGTGTTAGCCAGGATGGTCTCGATCTCCTGAACTCGTGATCCACCCGCCTTGGCCTCCCAAAGTGCTGGGACTACAGGCGTGAGCCACTGCGCCCGGCCTGACAAGTGATTTTTTTTAAGAGTGAGGCAGAAGGAGATTTTACTACAGTCAGAGGAGAAGGTGATGTGATGATGGAAGCAGGGATTACAGTGATGCACTTTGAAAATGGAGGAAGGGGCTACAAGCCAAGGAATACAAGTGGCTACTAGAAGCTGAAAAAGGCAAGAAAACTCACTCTCTCTTCAGAAGAGCCTCTAGAATAAACCAGCCATACAAGACACCTTGACTTTAGCCTAGTGAAAATGATTCAAGATTTCTGACCCCTAAAACAATAAAATAATAAATTTGCATTGTTTTGGGCCACTAAATTTGTGGTGATTTGTCACAGCAGCAATAAGAAACTAATACACTGTTATAGAAAAACAAATTGGTGAAAATTCTGCTTCTTGGACTATGTAACTCTAAAAAGAAAAACATGAACAGATATGCCAAGGTCTTCATTAGACAATACGTATAAGATCTAATCAAGAAGCCTAATGTCCTCAAGGAAACAAACAGCAATTATGTTAGATTTTGGAGTAAGCATAAAAGCAATCCCTAGTAAGTGAAACATCCTGAAAGAAGGCACAAAGGAACAGGTAAGTGAGAAATGGCAGCAAATTCATTATGAGTAGATACACAAACAGAAAAAGTGAACCAAATATAGTAACATAAAATTGAACTTTTAGAGACTGCTGCTCAAAAATAATTGGCCAACTCATTAGTTTAATTTCTCTACAAAGGCTCTAAGGTTGCATAATCAAGATTTCCCTTTCCTGTCATTAATCTAAAAGACTAGAAGAACTTGAAGAAAACATAATTAAAACTAGTGGTTTTACTGTTCTCACAGTCAAACCAGAAACCCAGATCAGCTCTAAGAGCTAGTAGAGGTTCATGCCTTTACTTGCGTGGCTGAGGCAGGAGGATGGCTTGAGAGCAAGAGTTTGAGACTAGCTTGGGCAACAGAGTAAAACTCCACTTCCAAATAATAATAATAATAACAACAACAACAACAATGGCTAGTAGAATCTAGGGATTTATCATTTCTGTAAGGTCCCCTAGATGACAGACAAATTATATCACTTCAGGCTGTTTGGGGCCCACATAGATTTGGGGGAGGCATACGCAGGATGACCTGTACCCCTGAGCTAGATGTCAGCTTGCCTTAATTGTTACATATGTGGTAAAGGCAGATATGTGATTGTTCATCTCACACTATGTCTCCCATATCAGGCTTCTGAATGATCCCTAAATTGCTCAAGTTTCTGAATGCTATGGAGTATGAATCTTGCTTCTTATTTGACAAATTCTGGAGCAAAATGAGGAAAACATCTTTATAAATAATTTTAAGCAACTTTTCTGCAGTGCTTTTATAGTACACCAAATGTTCTCACATATTGTACAAACATTTTACATGAAAAGTGAGCAGAAATGGAGCATGAAAAAAAAAAATTTAAAAACACTTTCACTCATCAGATGACCAGCTGAGCCTTTTTATCTACAGGAGCTGCATATAATGGTTTGAATCCAGTGCTTCCCTTCATGTACCTGTGTGTCAAAGACATTATTCAGCAAAATTCCGTACTGATGAGAGAGGCAATCAGAAAGCCAACGACAATCGTGGATAACCTAAGGAATCAGAAAGGAACAGTCATTAGAACCTGGCTGCTAATCTTAATAGCACAGGAATCGGTTTATATACTTACCTTCAAAATTCTCTTGTCTTCTAATATCATCTGAAGTCCATTGTTGAAAGCTCGACTTCCCAGAAGGAAAATGTCAAATAAGTAAACTCGGCAATTTGTGGCCACCTACAATAGACAATCCAGACACACATGTCATAGGATAAGACAGAACTGAGGAAGGGAAATTTGAGGATGAAGAGTAAAAGACATGTGATAAAATATCTAACATCTTCACTTTATTTATTTATTTATTTAGAGACAAAGTTTTGCTCTGTTGCCCAGGCTGGAGTGCAGTGGCACACTCACGGCTCACTGCAACCTCCATCTCCTGGATTCAAGCAAATCTCCTGCCTCGGCCTCCCAAGTAGCTGGGATTACAGGCATGCGGCACCAAGTCCAGATAATTTTTGGTTTTGTTTTTTGTTTTTTTGGGGTTTTTTTGAGACAGTCCTTGCTCCCGTCACCTGGGCTGGGAGTGCAGTGGTGTAGTCTCGGCTCACTGCAGCCTCTGCCTCCCTGGGTTCAAAGCAATTCTCCTGTCTCAGCCTTCCCCAAGTAGCTGGGATTACAGGTGCATGCCACCAGCCCAGCTAATTTTGTTATTTTTAGTAGAGAAGGGGTTTCACCATTGGCCAGGATGGTCTCGATCTCTGACTCATGATCCACCCCGCCTTGGCTTCCAAGTGAGCTGGGATTACATGCATGAGCCCTCCGCGTCCAGCGATGAAGGGGTTTCACCACATTGGCCAGGCTAGTCTCAAATTCCTGACACTCAGGTGATCCACCCACCTCACCCTCCTAAAAGTGCTGGGATTACAGGCGTGAGCCCTGCACCTGGCCAATTTTTGTATTTTTGTAGAGATGGGGTTTCACCATGTTGGCCAGGGCTGGTCTCAAACTCCTGACCTCAAATGATCCACCAGCATCAGCTCCCAAAACTTTTTTTTGAGACAGGGCCTTGCTCCATCACCCAGGCTGGATGACAGTGGCGTGATCTTGGCTTACTGCCAACCTCCACACCCAGGCCTTGTGATTCTCCCACCTCAGGCCTCCCAAGTACTGGATAACAGGCGTTCCACCCACCCACACTCAGCTAATTTTTGTATTTTTTGCTAAAGACTGGGGCTTGCCATGTTGCCCGGGCT